GTATGGCTGGGCACTGTGGCTCACGCCTATAATCCCAGCAGTTTGGAAGGCCAGGATGAGAGGATTGCATGAGCCCACAGGTTTGAGACCAGCCTGGGCAACTTGGTGAGACCTCATCTCTACAGAAAAAAAAAAAATTAGCTGCATATGGTGGCACGGGCCTATGGGTCCAGCTACCTAGAAGGCTGAGACAGAAGGAGCACCTGAGCCCAACAGGTCGAGGTTGTGGTGGCCGTTAGCATGTCACTGCACTCCAGCCTGGGCGAAAGAGTGAGACTCCAACTAAAAAAAAAAAAGTAAACCCCCCAATCCCAACCCTCTGAGTCAAGGGAAACCTGAAAAACCAAATCCTAGGTGTTCATGGAAAATAAGGTTAGACAAGGCTCGTTATACCTACTCCTTTATGGAGTTTTAGCCCCACTGACCAGCATTAACATTGCATTAAAGATCACAAGATTGACAAAACAGACTCTGTGGCAATATAGTACCAACCTGACTCTGGTATAGCTATAGACAGATAGCAGGCCCTAAAGAAAATAAAAATATTTTGCCCCAAAATCTGTTTCCTTGACATATTTTGAAATAACCCCGCAAAGCCATCTTTATATCTGTAGAGAACCTCCATTCATATAGTCAGATCTTTCTCCTTCCAGATCTTGAATCCAGAAGGATTAACTGAGAGTCTGACACCTTTAAAGTCTGAATAAGAGACATTTGTCATCTACTCTCTCTAAAGGTTGCCACCTCTGAGGCTCCAACTACATACAAAAAATAAGGAAGCTTGTTTTCCTCAACCTCCATCCCCTTATCTTATTATTATGTTTCTGAGTCTGAGTCTCACTCTGTCACCCAGGCTGGAGTGCAGTGGCATAGATCACAGCTCCCTACAGCCTTGACTTCTTAAACTCAGGCAATCTACCTCAGCCTCCCTGTAGGTGCATGCCACAACACCTGGCTAATTGTTTTTATTTCTGTAGAGACAACATCTTACTATGTTGCCCAGGCTGGTCTCAAGTTCCAGGACTCAAGCGATCCTCCTATCTTAACCTCCCAACATGCTGGGAATACAGGTGTGAGCCACCGCCTGTGGCTCCTTACATCTTAATTCAATATTTCTTTTACAGATTTCAAATGCTTTAGACAGAGCTTAACCCTTTCTACCAATTATCTACCAATTAGCAACCAAAAAATTTTTGAATCTGCCTATGACCTGCAAGACCCTGGAGATGGCCCATCCTCTCAGGTTTACCAATGTAAACCTCACATGTATTGATTTATGTTTTGTTAGTAACTTCTCCATAAAATGTATAAAGCCAAGCTATAATTCAGCCATGTTGGGCGCATGTTCTCAGAACCTCTTGGAACTGTGCCATAGGCCTAGGTCACTCACATTTTGCTCAGGATAAACCTTTTAAAACATTTTAGAGTTCAGTGTTTTCATCAACACCCTTATCTGAAGTCTACATGCCAGCAAACCCATTTGGTTGGGGTCCTCAGCAAGGATTGAAGCTTCTGAAAGACAATTCAGGGACATATATTAAGATGTTATGGTTAGGCCAGGCGTGGTAGCTCACCTATAATCCCAGCACTGTGAGAGGCCGAAGCCAGTGGATTGCCTGAGCCTGCGGGTTTGAGAACAGCCCGGGCAATTTGGCGAGACCTCATCTCTACTATAAATAAAAAATTAGCCAGGTGTGGTAGCGGGTGTCTGTAGTTCTGGCTACTTGAAAGGCTGAGGCGGCAGGATCACCAGAGCCCAGCAGGTCAATGCTGGGGTGGCCATGAGTGTGCCACTGCATTCCAGCCTGGGCAACAGAGTGAGACTCCAACTCAGAAAAATAAATGAACAAATAAAAGATGTTATCTTTAATTTTTGTAGGGGAAAAAAAATCTCTGAAACTTTAACTTCCTTGACTATTATTTTAGGCTACAATCCTCTTGTTTACAAGTTACTTCTATGCATCTGGAGCTAGCTAGGTGGCTGGAACTTACTTTGAAGACACTTTAGGATTTTCCTTTGTTTCCATGCTTGGGATCCTCAGGTCCCTAATAAAGGAGGTCTCAGTATTTCCATCTAATCTACCCACAATCTCTTGTATACCTTAAATCATCTCTAGAGATTACTTATAATAGCTAATACAGTGTAAATACTATGTAAATAGTTGTTATACTGTATTGTTTAGGGAATAATGACAAGGAAAGAAAGTCTGTACATGTTCAGTACAGATGTAACCATCCTTTTTTTGTCCAAAACATTTCCAGTCCATGGTTGGTTCAATCTACTGTGAAATATGATATACAAAATGGCATGACTCTGGTTCAGAGCTCTAAAATTAAGTAGATAAGTAATTCTAAGAAGGACTACCTGCATGAATTGCAACCTTGCAAACAAAACTAAACAAAAATCCAATAACTTACCTTTACCTTTTAACTGTGCCAAACTGCAATGATCATAACATCCTGGAAAATAACTGAATTTCACCAACACTGCAACTCCCAAATAGGAACAACCAATGAACTATGGGCTCATGTACTAAGCCAGCCACCTCCACCAATGATAATTCTTCCAAAACAATTTGTGTTATCAGTTTTAGCTTCATTTTAAATCCTTCTCATTCTCTTTGGGACACAGTTTGGCTTCTAGCTGAATCTATGTCTCCCAAATGGCAATTCCTAAGACCTCAATAAAGGCCTTGTCTAATTGCTTGACCTTTTGTTGATTGACACCATGGATGTAGAACGCACAGATACAGAGAACTGACTATATACATATTATAAATCATAATATCACAATTTTTTTTTTTTGGAGTCTCACTCTATTGCCCAGGCTAGAGTACAGTGACACATGCATAGGCACTCCTTCTGCCTCAGTCTTCCAAGTAGCTGGAACTACAGGCCTGTGCTACCACGCCTGGCTAATTTTTCAATTTACTGTAGAGATGAGGTCTCACCAAGTTGCCCAGGCTGGTCTCAAACCTGTGAGCTCAGGCAATTCTCTCACTTCAGCGTCCCAAAGTGCTAGAATTACAGGTTTGAGCCACCACACCTGGTATAAAATAATTCATCTTGATGTACCCCGCACAATCAGTCCTCAATGGTCATTTTGTTGACTGAATGAATAAATCAATTAATAAGTCAATTAATGAATATATGATTATAGCTTGCTTTCTCCATAAGTAAATTAATTCTTTTTTTTTTTTGAGTTGGAGTCTCACTCTGTCGTTCAGGTTAGAGTGCAGTGGCACACTCACAGTCACCACAGCCTCAACCTGCTGGACTCAGGAGATCTTTCTGCCTCAGCCTTCCAAGTAACTGGAACTACAGGTATGCGCCACCACGCTCAGCTAATTTTTTTATTTATTGTAGAGATGATGGCTCACCAAGTTGCCCAGGCTGGTCTTGAGCCCGTGGGCTCAGGCAATCTTCTCACCTTAGCCTCCCAAAGTGCTGAGATTATAGGCATGTGTCACTGTGCCTGGCTGTAAATGAATTCTTAAAAAGGAAAACCATGGCTCATCAACAAGGGTCCTGCAAAATCAACATTTGTATACCTAACCCTGAATTGTACCCCACATCTTTTTTTTTAAAGGGAAACCACTTAACCTATTCCTCCTGCTGCTACCTCTGTTTCCTTCTCCACTCATAGTAGAATGCTTTCTCTTTCTTAGCATACTTCTAGAAAAACATCAGTTGCCTTGCAACTAGAAAAGACTTTGCGACTATTTCTCACCAACGGAAAGTAAATAGAAGTGACGTTCCTGTCTCCAGGGCTATATCATAAAACACTAACCTTGAGATCTTTCCTCACTCTTTATCCTTTCAACCAGATGCAGAGGAAGAATTCCAAGGCCCAAGAAGATACTTAGTCATTGGGTCTCTGAATGACTGAGTGGAGTAAACCTCCATCCATTTCAGCCCCAACCAATTCATACTGGACTATAACATGAATAAGGAATAATTCTTGTTTAACCATTGGGATTTTGGATTAACAAATTAATTAACAATTACGTTCACAGGATTACAATCATTCCAGTTTCCTGACTCATCCAGGGTTGGAATAAAAAACACTTAAGCAGTTTGCATACCCTAGTAAATAAGGGCTTGGAAGGAACAGGTTTTTTAATCAGCACAGACCACTGGTCTCTTGCACTGTACACCACTTCCTCCCTGACATATCTTACCTGAGATTTGGTTAATGCCATCCATGGAATAACTAAGGAGTTGTAGCTTCTTATGCTTATGAGGTAGCCAGTTTTGGTAATGGGCACTGCTTCCTGAGACTGAGTGCCATTTCTGCTTGCACAACTCAGTCCTGATTTTGGAATTTTTAGCTTAATAAATACCAGGAGCTCCTAGGAATAAGACCTTGCTTTGCTTTTACTAGATCCTACTTCAGAAGCACATTCTACACTAATTACCCATGAAAAAACAACCAGCTATCTGTCTGTTTGGAGTCTTGAGTCTTGCTTACACCCTTCATACTCTGCCTCCCATTCATGCTGGAGATCTCACTGTACCTTGGTGCCCTAGTTGGCAAACCAACCATTTGTTTCAACTATGCCCATTTCCCTTTAAGTCCACTTAATACAGGGACCCACTAATGTCCCTCCATATTGCTACAGCCCCTAGAGAAGGACATGGCGGGGATTCAAGCACTCCTGCACATTACTGAGAGTCCCATTGTCTTCTATGCACTCCCAGTAAGTAGCTTTAGGGGATCCTTGACTTTCCAGCAGACACACAGTATGCAAAAGTGATTTGCATACTTTTGCAATGCCATGCATGATGTCTTATGCCTTGTAAACTTTTTTATTTTTTATTTTAGTTGGGATCTCACTCTGTCGCCCAGAATGGAGTGCAATGGCCGCTCCCGGCCACCGCAGCCTCGACCTGCTGGGCTCCGGCGATCCTTCCGCCTCAGCCTTCCAAGTAGCTGGAACTACAGGCGCGCGCTACCACGCCCGGCTGATTTTTGATTTATTGTAGAGATGAGGTCTCGCCAAGTTGCCCAGGCGGGTCACGAACCCTCGGACTCAGGCAATCCACTCACCTCAACCTCCCAAAGGCGTGGGATTACAGGCTGAGCCACCGAGCCCAGTTTAAACTTTCTTTACTCTAAATATCACTATCTAAATGTAAAATGCAGCTGTAACATAAGTCCTATACAATGCTCTGCTGGTCACTGACTAATGTACAGGCACCGACAACTCTGGACTATAAAAGTGAACCGTAAAATCCTAGAGGGGGAGCAGAACCATTTTAGAAAGATCTCGAGTTTGGCTCTGCACCCTGGATTTGAACCCAGAAATAAACTTCTTTCTACCAGTCCCCCGCCCCTTTGATTTACTGGTATCAAGGGGAGCAGCCAGGCATTACTCAGACCTTAACACACTTTGCCCTGCTGAGTTGCCAGACTCTTTACTTTCAGGTGGACACACATCTACCTTTCACTACTTGGTATGAGTGGATCTGGAGCTAGGTATCCTCCTGACCTTCCTCAGTATCCTAGAGTAAGCCGTGGTGCCTCACAAAGAAGTTCTGAAATAGAACACTTCAAAGGCTATACAGGTATTTTGCTTTCCCATTGATATTTCCACGAATGTTTTTTATTGTGATAAATGTGATTTCACTGTAGAGTATCACAAATCAGTTAATAGTCTTAGGGCTTAGATTTTTATGAGATATGAGTACACTGCATTTAGTGCATGCTAAGCATGCACACATTCTTTTATTGTGCTAAATCAAGCCTACCCGTACCTCTGTTTAAAGTTTTGATGACTCAATATACAGGTTTAAGAAGGTCCCAGAAAATTGCCCTATTGTGAAATTACCACGTAAGCAAGCGTTAAAGTGTTTTCCAGCAGGGCTTGGTGGCTCAACCTGTAATCCCATGCCTTTGTGAGACTGAGGTGAGTGAATTGCCTGAGCCCTCGGGTTCGAGACCCACCTGGGTAACTTGGCGAGACTTCCTCACTACAATACATCAAAAAATTAGCCAGCTGTGGTAGCGTGCGCCTATAGTTCCAGCTACGTGGAAGACTGAGGCGGAAGGATCGCCGGAGCCCAGCAGGTCAAGGCTGCAGTGGCCAGGAGCAACCACTGTACTCCAGTCTGGGCAACAGAGTGAGACTCCAACTCAAAAAAAATAATAAAAATAAAAAATAAAATGTTTTCCTTCCTTAATCTCACTTTTGTCCTCCAGCCCTTCCTAATATGACTTACTGTCATTAGCTAGCCTGCATCTTTACTGTCCAGCTAAATAGAGCTATTCATTTCTAAACAATGACTTCCATAACTGAGTTTATGAAAGTTACAAAATAAATCAAACCTGCTGCTTGTAGACACAAGTTGTCAATTATCAGTTCTCAGGAAAGCAGCTGCTGTAAGTAGTCTGTTCTGCACTCCTGGCAGCAACAATGACAATAAAAGCCTCACCCACAGATATCCTGGAAACACCTACTTTCCATCCTAGAAGGGCAGATCATTGCATTTGCACTCAAACATCACTGTCTACACCAAGCATGCCTGTAGAGTCCAGTAAAGATAGCTAACAGTGAGTGTTTAATATGTGCCAGGCATTGTGCTGCACCTTTTATACTTATTTAATCATTGCAACATTTTTACGAGTCAAATACTATTATTATCATCATCATCCCTATTTTACAGATAAGAATACTGAAGTTGGGCAACTTGGCCAATGTTACAGTGTCAGTTGGGATGAATTCAGCTTCAAGAGATAAAAGCTTATGAGGAATGGCTTATACCAGTGCTTCTTAAAATTTAACGTATTTAAGGACCACTTGGGGTTAGGCACCATGGTTTACACCTGTAATTTCAGCGCTTTGAGAGGCCAAGGCGGGAGGATTACTTGAGCCCAGGAGTATGAGACAAGCCTGAGCAACATAGCAAGACACTGTCTCTGAAAAAAAATTTTTAAAATTAGCTGGGCATGGTGGTATGCACCTGTAGTCCTAGGTATTCTGGAGGTGAAGGCAGGAGAATTGCTTGAGCCCAGGAGTTCAAGACTGCAGTGAGCTATGCTTGCACAACTGCATTCTAGCCTGGGCCATAGAGTGAGATTCTGTCTCAAAAACAACAACAACAAACACTATTTGGGATCTCTTTTTTTTTTTTCCCACTTGGGATCTTTTTAAACTGCCGATTATAATTCAGTTGAGGGGATGAGGTTCTGCGTTTCTAATAAGCAGCCAAGAGATGCCAACTCTGGTCTGTAGACCATACTTTGAGTAGCAAGTGCTTAAGCCACAAGAACACTTATTGTTTACCTAATGAGTGGTTTGGAGGTAGGTGGTTCCAGGATTGACTCAGAAGCTCTACAATTTCCTTCAGGACACAGACTCTTTCTATCTTTCTGAGGTGCCATCATAAGTAACCTGACTTTTTGGTCTTAGGCTATTTCCTCATGGTCACAAGATGGACACCTATGTTCCAAGCATTTGCATGTGGCTATAAATAGGATTTATTTCCTCAAATTGGGTGCATTGTCAGCTGAAAAAAATCTAGCAAGGAAGACATGTACTTGGAGGGAAATGGAGGTAGAAGTAAAGGGTAAAGAAGTTGATGGGTAGGTTAAACAAGTGTCTCCCATGACTAAGAACTAGTATAGTGGGGGTTCAAGTCAGTTTCCAAAGCTATCTTACTTCCCATCTGTTGAATTAATCATAGCTGTGGGGACTTCGAATAATCTCAGAAGGCAAGCCTAGAATATGATTATTCTGAACATGTTCAACTCTGATGATTTGTACCATGCCAGCCTGAAGAACGAATGTGCTATAAAAAAAGGAATGGATTTGTTTGGTGCCTATAGGTGAAGAGCCCAATAAGCATTATTTAGTTACAAAAATTCTGCTCAGCAGAGAGCTGTTCTGTTATGCGGCAGAATTGTTCATCTAGATTAGGCGTTCCCATAAACATATCCTTTAAAAAGATTTATCTTGGCTCTATGCTCCCAAGAAAAATTCAGAGTCTTCACTTGACTTGCCAGGTAATTGGATACCCATAAGCAGAGGGGTGGTGGGGTTCCCTTGTTGGTCTGCACAAGTTTTTGTTTCTCTGAGCGTGCATGGTTCCCACTGGAAGTAAATATGTGGACGGAGAGAAGAGCTCAGAGACATATCCAGGTCCAAAGTGAAACTTAATATGCAATAAAAGTGAAACCACAGATCACTGTGAAAGGAACAGATTGCTTAGAAGATGTTGGAAAAGTGGCTTACCATATGGAAAAAAATAAAATATAATCCACATCTAACATCACATGTATGATGTTCAAGATCTAAGTATGAATGGTAAAGTTAACATTAAAACAAACACCAACATATTTGTAACTTGGAGGCAAAAAATGAGATTTTAAACAATATATTTTAAAAGCACAATGGGAAATTAGTTCACATAAGATAGATTGGTCTCTTGAGGAGCACGTAAGAGGGTGTTCTCTGAAGCAATGCTTATGGTGCTGTAGAGTTGGAAGCAGCTTGGGTGGTCAACAGTGCAAGAGTGTATAGGTTGGTTGCAGTGGATTAGGCATACCCTATAACCAACATAAATATATCTTTAAAACAGTACTCGACTGGGCTTAGAGGCTAAGCTGGTAGTCCCAGCACTTTGGGAGGTTGATGCGAGTGGACTGAGCCTGCGGGTTCGAATCCAGCCTGGGCAACTTGTCGAGACCTCATCTCTACAATAAATCTGAAAATTAGCTGAGCGTGGTAGTGTGCGCCTGTTGTTCTGGCTACTTGGTAGGCTGAGGTGGAAGGATCACCCTGGCAGGTTGATGCTGGGGTGGCCGTGAGCATGCCACTGCACTCCAGCCTGGGCAACACAGTGAGACTCCAACTCAAAAACAAAAAACAAGACAGTACTCAGCAACAAAAAAAAAAGGGATATAGAAATGCAATAATGTTCATGCAAACTAAAAATACAAGCACATAAAATAATACACATTTTGCATAACACTTTCAAATAAAAAGATACACATTAAATTGTCAATTGGGGTAGAAGAATGGGATAAGATGGAATGAATGGCTGAATGGATATATACATAAACACAACAGAGAGGTCTTGGTAGGACCACTAATGATAGCATGCCAGTAACTGAAGAATGTCATTAATTCAACCCTTTGCATCTAAGATCTAAATACATAAATTAATACATGCAGGCATGTAAAGTACAGACAAATTTGTCTATAGATACATATGTAGATATAAATTTTCTAAGTTAAAAATGAAAACATGAGGATTTTTGTTTGTTTATTAGTTTTCTTATGATTTCTTACAGATGTCCTGACAAAATTGAGTTTTGGGGTTAGCAAAGTTGAATCAGAGCCTCGGTCTGGAGACCCCTGAGTAATCATAGCCCATGAACAGCATGTCTCTGTGTAATTACAACCATAAGTTTGGAAGATTTTAGTTATTATAGCAGGATTTTATCTTTCTTTCTAGTTAGAATATATCTTTCCTTCAGACAGGAAGGTGTGTTTTTTCATTTTTATTTTCACTCTGATACTCTTTCTTTGTCTAATTAAGTTTTTCAGTTGATAGAAAGAGTTAGGCTCTTATTAAAAATAAATAAACTCATTTACACTAACAGTTTTCACATTGTCACTATTACTACTGTAGATAGTTTTCTTGGTCAATGTACTTTTTTGATTTGAAAATAGATGTCCTTTTTTGTGTTTTAGAA